TAGAGCATTACCGTTAAATTTAATTTTCGAATGTTATTTACCAATTCACTCATAGAACAAAACGTGACACGGAACATATATTTATACTGTGAATCTAGCGTAAATGACCGTCGAAACTAATTTAACTAGCACGTGCATAACTTTGGCCAAAAATATTCATGGGTTGTTCGAAAAGCTTGGAGCGAAAAATTGTCAGGAATAATAAAAATATTATTTTCAAAAGTAAACTCATTTGACCAACTCAAATTGTGTGTAAAACAAGTGAAAGATGAAAGAAATCTATTTACTTTTTTTTTGAAAGTTTAAATAATTCGATTATTTTGAAAAGTATTATTTTTTTTAGTTCAATTCAGAACTTTAAAAACATCTTTTTAGAAATTTTGGAGACCCAATCAATAAGCCAAAAACCTTAGCTGTTCAAACTTTTCAAAACGACTCCAAGAAACACACCAAAGCTCTGACAGCTACGAAAAAGAAATTCAAATTCATATCTATTTAATAATTATTACATGATTTTACCATAGATAAACAAATATAAATTTTATTGATACTCAATATTTTTATTAACTTCCCGAAGGAGAAGTTTATGTTTTCATAAAAAAATCCGATTGGCTAATTGTATGTTTTCTCGACGTTTCAAGCCATTCTGAATCGAAATAGACCAAATTTGGAAAAAGTATGTGTGTGTGTGTGTGTGTGTGTGTATGTGAACAGATTTTTTGCCGTAAATCGACGTTTTCTCGAGAACGGCTGGACCGATTCCAAAAATTTAAAAGCCCATTCGTTGTATCTTGATTTTTAAAAATTTTCGTCCACGTTTTAGCCCGCAATTCTGAATCGATTATGAAAATTCAAAAACCGTTCGAAAGATATTGATTGGGAATCGTGCTGATGAGTTTTTAATGAAGATCGACCGGGCCGTTTTCTTGTAATAAAGTGTTAAAATTTTTTTCGACGATTTTTATTAATTTTTTACGTCATAATTTTTAGTCTTCTAGATTATACTAAAATATTACGGCCTTACGACAATTGGTTTAACTTTAAAGTTCGTCAAAGTTTGCAAAAACTGGTATCGTTTTTTTGGCATTTATCATCGACATTTTCTCAAAAACGCCTGAACCGATTTCAAATATTAAAAAGACATTTGATGTATCTCTATGAGGACTATCATTTGTCAGTTTTGTGCGACGATCTGCCAAGCCGTTTCTTTATAATTTAAAAAAAGTGTTAAAGTTTTCGTCCACATTTAAGCTCATACTACCGAATCGAAATCGAATTAAAAAAATCAAAAACTGTTCGAAAGATATTAGTTGGGAATGACATTGATTAGTTTTAGGTGAAAATCTACCGAGCCGTTTTCTTGTAATCAGTTGTTGAAAAAAGAATTTAAGCCGATTTTTATGAAACTTGGCGATATATGTCATGGTCTTACTGTAATATTACGGCCTTACGACAAGTAGTTTAATATTAAAAATTCATCAAAGTTTGAGAAAATGAGTAGTTTTTCTGACGTTAGCTAAAATTAAAATTAGATTTACTTGGTATAACGATAGAGTACTTGGTCTTAATGAACGTACTAAACTATTAAAGTCCTATGGAAACTGGTTCAATTATAAAAATTGTTGATTTTTGAAAATTTGTATTTAGAAAATACTACCTTAACGTGTTGGTTCGTTTTCAATTATGTATAATAAATCCACTCGAAATACTTTTAATCACTTATAAATTAATTTATTTTTTATTGATTAAGTCGATTATTTACACATATCGGGAAGTTCATGTCACTTGCCTCAAGGCTAAATACCAATACCAACTAGTTTAAAGTAGATGTAATTCAAGGGTGTACTTTGGTCGTAATTGTCACATAGTATTACAAATTCTTAATTATATTTGCTATATGTCGAGCAAGAACAGTTTTACTGAGACCATAAATTGTAAGGTAAAATGTGAAAAAAAATCTTTTGAATATTGAAAATCTTTAAAAATCGAAGAAACTTTAAAATAGCAACGAACTGCAAACGTTTGGCGCTAATTCTTAGAAATTTAACGGATGGACATGACAAATATATTGGCATGGCGCATGAGCCTCAATTTATACTTCGTCAAAAGAGCTGCAAAGTTTGCAAATTCGCGAAAGTGATCCCTTTTTATAATTCGTTTTTTTATAAAGACGTAATATATAAATAAACGAGGTTGTATTCACGGCGATCGGGACTGTATTATTTATAACTATGGGGGCGTCCATTAATCATGTGATGGAGTTTTTAAGGGTTTTTGGACCCCCTCTTCCTTGGTAATATTCAAAATTACCCCCCCTCCCTCACCAAACACCACGTGTTTTTAGTTGCGTGAAAAAACTAAAATTTTTGATTTTTTTGAGAAAGTTTGATTTAAAAAAAATCAGTTAAAAATAAATACACGTGATATCTTACCATACCCCTCCCTCCCCCAGGTGATATTTCATGATTTTTTGTCAAAACAAAAATCTAAGTGATTTACTTTCTCCGGCCTTACTAATTTAAAGTATACCCCGTATCGGGGTATACTTTATATTACTTATATTTTTCTATTCATATATATTAAAATTTTAGTGATAATGCATGTATGCGGGTCTGTGTCCGTTTCTTCTTATACAAAATTCGTACTATACAACGAACTATCACAAATATTCTTTATTGAAAACCTAGACAAATATTTGAATTCATTTTATTTTTGCATTTTCATATCCATGTTTTAAGTTATCTCCCGATTGCAATTAATTAGGCCGTCTTCCACTGCTGTATGAATTAGTGTTCCCTTTAGCAATTTGAACGCACAAAAACAATAAATACAATTATTGGTCTATCGGCAAACAAGTGCACATACTGACAATAAGGAACACTTCACAGCGAATGTAAACATGTGGGATCACTAAAATTTTCTAAAACAGTAACAAAATGCTCTGAATCAGAAGTATGTGCGGTCATGTAAGTATCAACGAGCACAATAGTCAACGATCAAATAGTAAAAGTTAAAGTTGGAAAGAATTATAATTTTTATTTACAAAAAGTACAATTTTAATCTACCTTTTAGTGATTGTTAAAACGTTAACAGCATTCAGCAATAATATTAATTGGCAATTATATGAATATTTTAATTTTTCAATACAAAAGTTAAATCACGATTCTACGAAAATATGTCGTAATAAATAAAACTGTTGATCATACTAAACGTATTTAATTGTCATGGAAAGATCAGCAAAAACAAAGGTCTCCTTCAGGATGTTAATTATGTTTTTGTCAAAAAAAATCCGAGAAGCTAATTTTATGTTTTCTCAACGAGTAAGACTTTAGTTTCTTCAGTTTTGCATCTGTAAGTTAAGAACTTTTGGAACAAAATTATATAAAAAAAAAATCTCCAAACTTCAACATCAACTTCAACTTTCAGTTGCGTTTTTTTATATTTAGCCCTATACTGTTAAAATTTGTTAGAACCCTGTATTCATTTTTTACACAATTAGAATCCCATATTATCAATATGGGATCGTCACTGTATATTTAATGAACGATAGACTATATACTGATTATAAAAATCTATTTGAAAATGTTTAAAACAATTGTTATTAATCGTTGATCAATATTTATTAACTTCCCGTAGGGCAAGTTATAGTAATCGCAAAAAAATCGAAAATGAAAATTTTTGCAGACTTTAGTAAGTTTCAAGTAATTCTGAATCGTTTGGGACCAAAATTGGAAAAAGTATGCGAGCGTATGTGAGCCATTTTTTTCTTTCTTCATTATTAGAGATTAGTTCTCAAAAATGGCTAAAACTATTTTAAAAAATTTAAATTTCATTGTATGAAATGCTAAAATTTTAATAAAAACGGGAATATATACATTAATACCTTAAACATAAATAAAATCCTTTTATGATTTTTAATTTCAACATTTAGATTATGTTACTACATAATCTGTAAGTTAAAATCGTAGAAATAAAACGTTTAAAGACCATAGAAAATGTTGGGTATACTTAAATTATTAAGGTCAAGACAAAACGCTGTTGAATCAGTAAGCTGGTAAAGGCATATGCATATAATTCAAGTTTTCAATTTTATTTTTCAATTGGCTTTTCGAAACAATTTTATATTTATTGTTATAGCATATATACCACGATATTCTATTAGAATTAATATATTGTCGCACAGGCGGGGTAGGCTGAAAAACACATCTTAACAATTATTATCATTCCCAGATTTTCTTGTATCTTTCAATACAACGTTTTAAACATAATCATTTTATAGCTTTTAACAATAATCATTATTTTTTTTGCATTTGCATTTTGCTAATATAAACAATACATCAAGGGCCATTTAAATTTACATATATAAAAATGGAAGTATGTCAGTCTGTTGTGTGTATCCTATGCATCCAATGGCCGTGAAAATTTGAAAAACTATTAGTATATCCCCAGACAGGTTTTCGCATATATTGATTGAAATTCAGTGGAAAGAGTTGGCCACCCCATTTTTTTTATAATGCGTATATAAAAAACACATAACCCTAAGTTTTCACCCTCTTGCCACAAACTCTCATTTTGTTAGAATTATAATTATACACATAATTAACATCCTGAAGGGGTCCTTTGTAATAGTAATTAAATCATTTTTCATCTCGATTTCTGTCAGTGACCTTTTTTGACTGAATTTTCCTGGATCTTTTGAGTTTATAAAAAAGCTTAATTTTTCATAACAAAAAATTAATTTCATCAAGAGGTGTCCAATTTTAATACTTATTTTTCATGTATTAAATCAGTTTTCTTTTTTTTTTTTTTTAATACAAGTTTGAAAAATTCATGCATGCAACCAATATATATATATATATATTTATATATATGTGCATGAAAAATGAACATATGAATTATTGAATTCAAAACCTAGATTATAAAAAAAATAACTAGTTTGCAAATCAAATTAGGATCACTGAGGAAAACTACTTTATTGTAGGCATATAATAATAACTTACCTTTAATGAGTGGTTCTATTTTAGATGTTGATTCCTCATGTGGTATCATATCCATCAACTTAGAAATGTCTTCAGCCATCATTTTATCAACTACTTCAAGAAGTTTTAATTTCAACGGATGAAATTTTGTAAAATCATGATGTTGTAAGCATTCTTGCATTTTTTTGACATCTGGAAAATCGCCTGGAGATATTTGATGCTCCCTTTGCAGTTTTTCATAAGTTTGTGGTAAATGTTTTATCAGTTCCTTTTTCTTACCATCTTTTCCAAATACTGAAGGCATCTCTTTGCGTAATTCAGATATTATATAAGCATGAACTTTGGCCAGTCTTGCTCTTTTAATCAAATCATTTAACTTTCTCAAAGCAGCATTGCGTGGAAGTGATTGCATGTCTTTGAATAAATCTTGCTCTTCATCTTCAAATAATCGCCGATTTACATCATACCTCAAAGGCTGATCCCAAAATGATCCTATATAAACTCGAGCAACTTCTGGTGTTTGAAGCACTTTTCCCAGTGACCACATCAATGCCCCATAAACCCTCATTAATTGCTGATGATCAATCATATCAGCTTTGTTTAATACAATGCGAATTTTGTCATCATGGCCTCGTAAAGCTTCAATTGATCTTCTAAATTCATCTGATATATCTAACTTATGTGCATCAAACAGCAGTATTATACGATCCACTCTCTCTGCAAACCATTCAAGAACCCCAGTAAAATCGTATCCTCTATCCACACGCTGTTTCTCACCGGATAATATACCAGGCGTATCCACTATTGATATTCCTTTAAGTACAGGTGAAGGTAAAGTAGAACATTGAAACCTATTAAGAAAAGCATTGCCAAATTTGCTTAAAGGCCGAAATTGTTTTTTGGGATCAACAACTAATGCATTACCAGGTATCACGCCCTCTTTATCATCATACATAACGGCTATAAATCTATCAGTGGTCGGTTCAGGACCAATTCTGATTCCAGGAAATTCTCTTTCTAATAAATATTTGATGAAAGTAGTTTTTCCGGTGGAATATTGACCTACTAATAATATTAAAGGCTTCGCATCGAAATCTGGATCATCTAACATGGGTGAATGAAAGTCGTGAAACTGATAATGCTGTTCCAAAGGTAACAGCTTTGTTTTATATATCTTTTTAAGACCTTCCACAACATTATCGTACAATTGCTGCTTTTCGCCTTCTTTAGATAACCAACTAAACATTTTTAATTAATAATTTTAGTTATAACCACAAATTTGTCATACGTCAAAGTTGCGTCAAATACAATTTGAACGCCCTCTTGTCAAAACACCGTCACTATTCCACCGAAAATACTGCCACACTGAAGCTCGGGCTCACACACGGATTCCCATTGTGCATTGACTCTTATCAGAAAGAGCTATTGCCACGTGTTAATAGATTTCGGCACGAACACGATCTTCTGATCTGGCAACAAAAGCTGAATACTTTCTTATATCATCGGGCAACACTCGTATCAACAAAAGTCCAGTGCTCACAACATGAAAACCAATTATTATTGACTTGACATTGTTCAAATGTCATAATCAAATAAAAATAAGAAATTTGCCTGGTCCTAAAATGCCAAAGGCAAAGAAATCGGCAACAAAAGCCAAATTAAGAAAAACTCAACATGATTTATTACAATCTTGCAGATTGTGTGGGATAATAGGTGGAAATCGGGTTCCTATCATTCAGGAAACAATGACAATAGGCGATGATACTTGCATAGATGAAAGTAATGAAATACAAATTAACAAAAAAATTCAAGACTGTTTATCCATTGAGGTAAACATAGAAAAATATTTTTATTAGTTGCATTTCATAAGCATATTTGATAAAATAATTATAAGATGCATTGCCTTGCCAGATTATATATTACAATGATTGATTTTTAAGCACAAAATAAAATAACTTCTATTTAATGTATCTATATTTATCGTACTAATTTAATTTGTTAACATTGATTTTTATTTATTATTCATTGCACTGGCATTAGCACTTATGAAAATCTATTATTAAACAACTTTTTCTGAGTTTATGATTAAATATATAGAGTAGTAAATAATTAAATAGAACTGTCTATATATAAATATATTTTATTCATATATTATTTATTTATTTAGATATTTGTGTAATACAATAACAATACATGCATCTTACTACAGGTAAAATATGGAGATAATTTGCCACCACTTATTTGTGTTATTTGCTTAAACAAATTGAATGATTTCTATGAATTCCGAATTATGTGTTCTGAAACTAATATAAGACTACACAAGGCTTTGGGTATATCTATAGATAAACCACAGCCTGTTGGAATGGTTGTTTCTGTAAGTATTAAATATCATCAACTAATTTAGCACAAATTAATATTTATAATTTAAACTTAGACTGGAACTGCGGACAATCAGTTAGATTGCATTCTTGGTGTAGCAGGACCAGTATTTTTTCAACCATCTTCATCTACAAATAAAGAAGTTAACAAAAAAATAACACCAATAAAAAAAGAAAGTAAAATTAAATATAAAGCACCTGAAGGTAAAATACAATATTTTTCTATACTAAATATCTTATTATATTATATATTAAATTATGAATGTGTCAAAAAATGTAATATGTGATAAAGTTTAAAGGTGAAATTAAATTTATCTTTTAAATTAGGCTTAATTTGATTAGGTGATATTTTAATACTCTCTGTAGAAATCAAGTATATTTATCGATATATAATCAAACTAATTTGTTTTTGGTTTGATTTGCTTAGCAAATGATGAAGATGATGACAAGCCACTAATAAAGAGAGTTAAGGTTAAAAATGAAATTCTTGGGCCAATTTTAGAAGTCAAACCCCCTAATAAACGAGAACGCAATAGGAATAGGAAATTGGCAGTGCTTGAAAAGTAATTTTAATATGACTTTTTGATTTTAAAAGATATTACAACATTTTGATTAAAAATATATAATTTGCAGATTTTTCATTAAAAAGAAACTGGCTTTAAGAAATAAATCGATCATGGCCTCTAATCAAGCTGAACCGGTTGCAAAAAAAATAAAGAAAAAGAAACTGCCTTTTAATTGCAAGGTGTGTTCAGAAAGATTTGCTTCTCCAAATATTCTAAAGTAAGTTTTTTCATATTTTTTATGCATATTGTATAATTACTATATATTTTGATGTAGTTGGAAGGATTAATAGTTTTTATCAATAATTATAGTCAGGATTATATTAACATGTTTTTGTTTTGTGAATTTGAAATGAATTATTAGTAGTAATTTCCTGAAATTCTCTCTTGGCTTTTGTTTAAACAGTCATCATTATTGAATAGACAGGAGTTTGAATCCATTCTTAATATTTCAATATTAAAAGAAACAATCAATAAATTGCACTTGTGTCGTACTTTTGCTTTTTATATGTGTACCTCAAGCAAGTATTTATTTAAGCAACATTTGGCCTTAAGGCAATATTTATGAACTTTCCTATAAAAATATGTGATTTAATTGACTTAAACAACTGAAATTGAGTTTTAGCTATTTAGATAAAAATTTGAACTTCTTAATTCTAAAATAAATTTTTTGTTTCCACTAAAAACTAAACATGGAGATTTTCATTTAATATTTATCAAACTCGTTTATAATATCTGTTATTATATTAATTAAGTCCTTAAAAATATGCTAATATCTCTAAAAAAAAAAAACACGAGCCCACTGGCTGTCTATCAAAAAAAAAACAGCCCCACCCATCAAAAATTTGGTTTCGACGCCACTGCTTGTATGTCTTGAAAGTGCTCAGACATTGAACCAATTTTTATAGGACTGTTTAGTGCATGTATTTTATTATCATGTTAAACTTTATTAAAAAAGCCGAAAGCTTTTTTTTAAGAATCTTAATAAATTATTTTGTGAAATATTAACAGGCCTAATTCATTATTAGGTATATTAAGTATATATAGTTGTAAACACATTGATGTAGAGACAGCTACAAAGAATATATTAAAGTAGTTATTAATTAATTTCAGTGAACAAAGCATAAAAGCATAAACTTAAGATAGCAAGATTTTTGCGCAAACGGTTATAAAAAAAGGGTTTTGCTAATTCCAAAGAAACGGCCTTTTTTCAACATTTAATTTCCGAAGAAACGGTCCGATCTTTACCAAAAACGCGCGATATCCAGCCAATATATTTCGGAACAGTTTTTGAATTTTCAAAATCGATTGACGATTGCAGGCTAAAACGTGTATGAAAAGTTTTTTTTACTTTTCTTCTTATTACAAGAGAACAGTTTGGCCGATCATTTTACAAAACAAACTAGTTGGTATTGGTATTTTGCCTTGAGGCAAGTTACATGAACTTTCCGATATGTGTAAATAATCGACCTAATCAATAAAAAATTAATTAATTCTGAATTAGTTATTATTACACATAATTGAAAACGAACGAACACGTTAACTCAGAGTACTGTCTAAAAGCAAATTTTCAAAAATCAATAATTTATATAATTTAACCAGTTTCCGTAGAACTTTAATGGTTTAGTATGTTCAGTAAGACCAAGTACTCTATCGTTATACCAAGTATTTTAATTTTAACAAATGTCAAAAAAACTACTCATTTTCTCAAACTTTGATGAATTTTTAAAATGAAACTACTTGTCGTAAGGCCGTAATGTTTCAACAATTGTATAAGACCATGATAAATATCATCAAAAAAAGTTTCATAAAAATCGGCTCAATTTTTTTTTCAACATCGAAATACAAGAAAACGGCTCGGTAGATCGAACAGTTTTTGATTTTTTAAAATCGATTCGGTAGTATGAGCTTGATGTGGACAAAAAATTTACCACTTTTTTGCAAATTATAAAGAAACGGCTTGGCAGATCGTTGCACGAAACTGACAAACAATAGTCCTCATTGAGATACATCAATTGACTTTTAAATTTCTGAAATCGGTTCAGGCGTTTTTGAGAAAACGTCGATCAAAGGTCTAATTTTGACAAATGCCAAAAAAATGATACTAATTTTTGCAAACTTTGACGTATTTCAAAAGTGAAACGACTTGTCGTAGGGCTGTAATATTTAAGTATGATCTATAAGACTATGGTTGCTACCGTCAAAAAAATCATAAAATCGTAGAATTTTTTTTTTAAACTTTATTACAAGAAAACGGCCCGGCCGATCTTTACCAAAAACTAGTCAGCACGATTCCTAACTAATATCTTTCGAACGGCTTTTGAATTTTTAATATCGATTCAGAACTGCGGGCTAAAACGCGGATGAAAAATTTTTTACTTTTCAGGGATTTACAAAGAAACGGTTCGGTCGATCGTAGCGCATCGCAAACTGACAAACGATCGTCCTCATCGAGGTACATCGAATGGGTTTTAAATTTTTGAAATTGTTACGGCCCTGTTTGAGAAAACGTCGATTTAAGGCAAAAAATCTGTTCACATACACACACACACATACACACTTTTTCCAAATTTGGTCTCATTCGGTTCAGAATGGCTTGAAACGTCGAGAAAATATAAAATTAGCAAATCAGATTTTTTGATGAAAACATAAACTTCTCCTTCGGGAAGTTAATAAACGCGAAGTTTTATTAAGATATATCAAATGGCCTTTAAAATTTGGAAATCGGTGCAGGATGAAAGATAGAAAAAACGGCTCACATACACAAACGTTTTTGCCGAAAATTTAAACTTCTCGTTCGGGAAGTTGTAATACTCATTACAAAATATGTGGAATAGTTCTGCTTCCTGAAGAAGATAATGTTTTCGTCAAAAAATTCGATTTGCTAATTGTATGTTTTCTCGGCATTTCAAGCCATTTTGAATCTAATGAGACCAAATTTGGAAAAAGTATTTGTGGTTTTTGATCTTTCGTCGACGTTTTCTCAAAAACCATTTGTTGTAACTCGATAAAAGGACTAGCGTTTGTCAGTTTTAGATCAGACGATAAGTCAAGCCGATTTTTTTTTGTAGATAATAGAAACGTTTTCGCAATTTTGAATCGATTTTAGAAATTCGAAAAGTGTTTTCGTATTGATTGGGAATCGTGCTGATTAGTTTTTGGCATAGATAGACCGGGGCCGCTCTCTTGTAATAAAATGTTGAAAAAAAAAATCGACGTTTTTTATGAAACTTTTTTTGGCGGTAGATTACATGGTTTTATGCTTTAGAACATACTAAAATATTACTGTTCTATGTCAAGCCGTTTAATTTTAAATATTCTTCAAAGTTGGAGTTTAGCGCGACATTTATTAAAATTACATCTTTCATCTAAGTTTTTTCAAAAACTGCTAAATCGATTTTAAAAATTCAAGAAATTCAAGAAAGAAAGATTGGCCGAAATATTTTTTAGTAATTGACTGTTGACAAATAAATTATCGATCTTTTTATGGTGATAGATATCATGGTCCTAAAGAACGTACTAAAAAAATTTTGCAGCCCTATGACAGGTCGTTTAATTTTAAAATTTCATGAGTCGCTTTTTTGATGTGATAATCCAAAATTTGAATTTTACTACTCATTCAAAAGCTATTGAAATAAGCCGTCCACAAAATTTCTCTAGTTGTGTAAAAATTTTTACCATTAATTTAAATATCATAATCAACATGATATATGTATCAGTGCCAGCATTTTCTTATAGAAGATGCTTAAAATTTCACACAATAATTTATTAAGTTTTTTTTTTAAAACAAATGTTTCGACTATTTTCATAAAGTTGAATATGGCAATAAAGTTCATGCACCAACAGTTGAAAGCCAATTACTACACATTTCGGGAAGTTCACGAAACTTGGTTTAAAGCAAAATGCCACTTTCAACTAGTTTGAAATTGAAGTAGCTAAGGCAATTATTTATAATGCTATTGAAATTTTTTTAAATGCTTTCAAAACTTTAAACATGTTCAAAAAAATTCAAGATTCTCAAAAAAAATCTAATGTTTCTTTTCTGAGCTTTTAAGAATTACGATGCGGAAAGTTTCAGCAATTTGCCTCAAGGCAAATTAGTTACTAAATTTGTAGATTACTGCAAAATAATTTACGAGTAGTTCGAATTTCAATCCAAAGATATTATATCATTTTCGTTATGAAATTTAGATGAAATTAGATGTTTAACTAATAAAAAAATATGTTATTCTACACCACTAGTGCGACTTAAACTTAAAAACTTGTAGTTTTTGGATAATATATCTCCCTTCCGCTTTTTGTCTCTTGGTTTATAATACAAAAAGGCGGAAGGGAGATATTTGACAACCTATTATTGTGTACGAATATACATAGTAGTTAATGTTTATATTGGCTATGTTATATAAATTGTTTGTTGGTCTAAACTATTTTTATTAAGAGAATTTTTAAATTTCAGAACTCATCAGTTACAATCCCATGTTCCAAATATATATAAATTTGGATGCATACCTTGCAGGGAAGGCTTCCCAACTGTAGAAGACAGAACAAAACACCATAATTGGCACAAACAAATTTAGTTACTTATGCATGTTCTAAATGCTCAAAAACTTTCAGGACATATAATTATTTTATGGTAATCACTTTAATTTTATTATACATATATATATATATATATATATATATATATATATATATATATAA